CAGCTATCCTGGTGTCTTTGCTGGTAGCAATCCCTGCCTCTGTCACCACCTTCGGAGACGGAAGAGAGATTCCAGCGGTCCTCCGTTCTTCCCCACAAGCCTCTCCTGTGACTTCCCTCGCAGGAGGCCACACCTTAGACAAACACAGCATATCCTTCAGCTCTTGCACGGGCGTCTACGACCGCGAACTCCTTGTAAGGCTCGACCGCGTGTGCGAAGACTGCTACAACGTGTACCGCGACCTCGGATTGGCAGCCGAATGCAGGTAACTTATTACTTTGCAGTTACCCAACCAGCTGTGTTGTCATTAAACACTATTGTGGAGGGGTAATAATATATCTATATGAAACAATTAATTCACACTGAGTTTGATGTGCATGGAGTTTTCGTTAACATCGTCTTTTGCCTAAAAAAACATAATTATAAACGGAATAAACAGAATATACTTTATTTCTTATTGCTCTTTATCTCATAGTTGTTCTTTTTCACATTTCTGTACGACCTACCATCGGAACTACATATCATTCCTTGCTTCAGGAGTAACTGTCTCCACAACGAGGTGTTCCGGCCTCGCCAAAAGAACCAGTACCGGGCCGCCCAGCAAAGGCTCGGCAAGTAGGCGGTTCCTCTTCGGCCAGACCTCGGCCATACGACTCCCAAGACGACCATACTCGAAACTCCTATTCGTTTGCTTTCGTATCCTGAGTTAAAAGGTGAATTAATAGCCTGTACAATATGCCTTCATTCTAATAAAAGCAAAAGAAATATAATGGGAATTTCCCTTAATATATCCTTCTGAAACATACTGTGAAATACAACAATTAGAAGGAGACTACAAGGCTGTAAAAGTGGCTGTAATTATAGTTGAAAAGATAAATATATGTATAAACACAAGCATATTAGATCTTTTTGTAGCATCCCGAAACCCCAAACACTTTGATACATTGTTTGAAGTTGCATCAAGGTCGCTACAAAACACGATATTATTGAGTATTGAGTATTGTACTGGCATACAAAGTTTTATTTTTTCATATAAAAACGATAGAAAACCGTCAATATTTTTTTAAGATTTTTTTTTTATTACCAGCAAAACATTGTGGAAGTTTCAAATGAATTGGAAGAATACCTGACTACTCTGCAATTTATATTGTTTATATACATCACTCTTCGCCACACATGCATTGTTCTTCATATAAAATATATAATACATATATAGATAGATAGATAGATAGATATAGATAGATAGATTGCTAAAGGTTTTGCATCTTATCGTATATACTGCGAGTGAGTGTGTCCAAATTAGACAACTGGGTAATTCCAATGATCAAGGACATTTATTTGACTTATTGATTGAATTATATCAACAAATTAAGATACACAACATTTTCTTTGATAATTTTCAGTCTGTAAGGTTATATCATAGACGTACCATGTCGTTCCAGCAACCGTCATGATTAGCTTCAAATATTACTATACAGAGTGATCAAGTATTTGATATACTGCTAAAAAAAGGCACAGAAACTTTCATGAACGCAACCTTCAGTTGCATGGGTAACTGCTTGGTAATCTATCAGAATATCCACGATTGATACAGGTTTGAAGGATACATTTCTGCTGCACCTTTTGTTAGCAGTGCTTTAAAAATGCAAATCAAATATTGGCATATCACTTTGGATATTTTCTTACAATAATGGTGTGTGAAAGGAAAACTGTCACATGATAAGGGAAATCCAGAACCGTGACATTTTTTGCCACAAGGACTCTTCATCAGACAGGAGAACTGACTGGACATGCGAAATAATTTTGAACAAGAATATAAAAGAGCCAATAGGAGCAAGATCTGAATCCTTTGACAAGGGTCCAGTAATCCGAAGAAGTCTTTATCAGCCAGGATAGATAAGATATACACTTTCTCTTTAAGAAAAAAAAAAAATACCACTATATGCAGTTTGTCTCCATCTGTGAATGTTAATTCCTTTCTCGTGTGACCTTATTTTCCCCTTCGGACACATACGATGATTCAGCAGTATTATCATCCTTATCATAATCTATATTGCTAGTATCGTTATCGTTATAATTACTTTTAAGATAGTCATGAATATCATTATAATTATTTGTGTTGCACATACACACCCTTATGTGTTTATGTGTATGTGTTTGTCCATATATGTTTAGCTTCGTAATTATAATAACACCCAGTTTTACATCCTTGCAGTCTCCTCTTTGCAACCTATTATTGTATTTCAGAGTATGCTTCGGAGGGATCTTTTAAGGGAAATTCCCATATATTTCGTTTATGTTCTTATTTGATTTAGGGGAAAATTGTAGAGACTACAAAACGCTTCGATGACATCATTATTTCACCTTTTAACTCAGGACACAAAAGCAACCAAAGAGGAGTCTGTAGTCTGGTCGTCTGGGGAGTCGCATGGCGAGCGTCCCCGCAGAAGGTCTGGCCGAAGAGGAACCGCCTACTTGCCGAGCCTTTGCAGGGCGGCCTGGTACTGGTTCCTCTGGCGAGGCCGGAACATGTAGTCCACGCAGTAGAGGAACACCTCGTTGTGGAAACAGTTACTCCTGAAGGAAAGGATAATGTTATTTAGTTCTGCTGAGAGATTATACAGGAGAAATGTGAAAAAAAATAATAATGAGAATAAAGAGCAATAAGATATCAAATATATTTTGTTTACTCTTTATAATTATTAGGGCTATGCAGGCAAAAGGCGATGTTAAGGAAAGTTCCATGCATATCAAGCTTTTATTCAAGATAAAATCACTGTTCGGTATTCTTGTTATTTCCAAGGGAATACATTTTATACTAATACCCTTCCACAACAGTAAATTTTTATCATAAAATGGTTGTTAACCATTAATCACAACACAACTGGGTGGGTAACTGTAAAGCAATAAGTTACCTGCATTCGGTTGCCACTCCGACGTCGCGGTAGAGGTTGTAGCAGTCTTCGCACACGCGGTCGAGCCTTACAAGGAGTTCGCGGTCGTAGACGCCCGTGCAAGAGCTGAAGGATAGGCTGCGTTTGTCTAACGTGTGGGGTCCTGCGAGGGAAGTCACAGGAGAGGCTTGTGGGAAAGAACGGAGGATCGTCGGAATCTCATTGCCGTCTCCGGAGGCGGTGGCAGAAGCTGGGATTGCCATCAGCAGAGACAGCAGGATAGCTGCCCACATCGGTCCAACGGCAACCATATCTTCAGAGCAAGAGCAACGATCGGCAACTTCTAGGTTCTTCCTCTGCACTAAGATAGAAACAGTCGAGCATCACCTTATATAAGTGGTCAAGGATCAAGTGTGGGATCGGATTTTCTCAGCCTTTGAGTCTCTGTTTAGTAAAGAAGGCCTGATCACTTCTTCGAACCCAGCCAGCTGTGCTGATTCACTGCTGCACTGAAATGAATGTATGTCGGAGATAAATGTTTCTCTTGCAAATTCTATCCTATATGAATTCTCTGATCATACAGACAGTAGTATATTACACACACATATAAGTGATGGGCATCAAGAGCGATTCTGCTACATCGATTCCTCGAAGATAGTTAAAGCGATATCGACACCAATACAAATATCGCCGAAACATCATCCCCGATATGTTATTGTAGAAAAATTCAAACTGATATGTCAAGATTTTATTTGCACGTTTAATGCACTGCTAACAAAGATTGCAACATATATGTATTTTTCAAATTTGTGTATTAAGAATATCAAAAGCCGTTTATTTATGACCAAGGAAAACAGGAGATAATCCCCCGCCTCTTTCATATATGTGTGTGTGTGTGTGTGTGTGCATTTATCTGTTTATGTACTTATACATATATGCACACATATTCCAATGTACATACATACAAAGATATATATATATATATACCAATATAATATATATGTGCGTGTACATATAACATACATATATGTATGTATATATGTATATATATACACCATTATATATGTATATATATATATATATATATATATATATATATATATATATATATATGTGTGTGTGTGTGTGTGTGTGTGTGTGTATGTGTGTGTGTGTGTGTATATATGTATATATATATACACACCAATATATATGTATATGCATATATCATGCATATATATATACCCATATATATAAACACATATATACCAATATATATATATATATATATATATATATATATATATATATATATATATATATATATATGTATATATATATATACATATGTGTGTGTCTATAATATATATATATATATATATATATATATATATATATATATATATATATATATATATATTTATATATGTGTGTGTGTGTGTGTGTGTGTGTGTGTGTGTGTGTGTATGCATATCATATATATATATATATATATATATATATATATATATATATATATATATATATATATATATATATATATATATGTATGTATATATATATATATATATATATATATATATATATATATGTATATATATATATATATATATATATATATATATATATATATATATATATATGCCTATATATATATATATATATATATATATATATATATATATATATATATATATATATATACATATGTGTGTGTATATAATATATATATATATATATATATATATATATATATATATATATATATATATGTGTGTGTGTGTGTGTGTGTGTGTGTGTGTGTGTATGTATATGCATATTATATATATATATATATATATATATATATATATATATATATATATATATATATATATATATATATATATGTATATATATATATATATATATATATATATATATATATATATATGTATATATATATGTATATATATATATATATATATATATATATATATATATATATATATATATATATATATATATATAGTTTTGGGCCAATGATTTATAGTCAAATGGTGGCCCGGAAAAAAACACTATTCTTTTAAAAAGGCCAGTCAGCCAAAAGGAAAAGGTATATCAAAATGTACAATTTACTCCATATATATATATGTGTGTGTGTGTGTGTGTGTGTGTGTGTGTGTGTGTGTGTGTGTGTGTGTGTGTGTGTGTGTGTGTGTGTGTGTGTGTGTGTGTGTGGTGTGTGTGTGTGTGTGAAAGAAAGAGAGCGTGTGCGTGAAATGAAAAACAGAAGTTAATTAATCCGGGGAAGTCTTTATCAAAGATCATCAGTTTACTGTTTTATGCGATTTGTCTCCATCTATAAATACTTCTTCCTTTCCCGTATGACCTACTTTTTTTTTCTTCGGTCACATGCTATGATTCAGCAGTATTATTATCCTCATTATCATAATCCACATTACCAGTATCAGTATCATTATAAATACTTTTAAGATAAGGGTTTTTTTGTAACATTTCAGAAACCCATAACACTTTGATAACACTTTACGCATACATCATTGGAACCTGTTAAAACATCTTTTCAGTTTGTATCAAAATGTATGCATTCACCTAGATATAGTTTGATACACTCCGGCTAGCTAATCAAAGCGCGATGTTTTTCAGATGTATTTTACGTAGTTTCAGATAGGGATTTATATCTTCATTGCATCACATAAGTTTCTTGATAAAACTTTTTATTGTAAAGCTACATGAAATGTTTCTGTGTTTTTTTAGCAGTACATCAAATACAAGTTCACTCTGTGTCGGTAAGATTTGAAGTCAGTCACGACGGTTGCTGGAACATGATAAAAATTTCCGTGTCCGAGTCATATGACATAGTACTAACCGGTGGGATGAATGTCTTTAAAATCATTCTAAAAGTCTATGATATAACCTTACAGGCTCAAAATCAAAGAAAATGTTGTGTACCTTGATTTTCTTTATATATATAATTCAATCAATAAATCACGTAAATGTCCGTGGGCATTGGAATTACCCAGTTCGGACACGCTCCCTCGCGGTGGATACGATAAGATGCAAAACCTATAGCAACTTATACTTTTCGTATGATGAACAATGCATGTAATAAGAAAGATATATTTTGGCTGAATCTGAGAAATAGATTTAAACTTTCCACACCCTTGCGAAGCGAAGAGAGGGGTGTATAAACAATATAAGTTGCAGAGTAGTCAGGGTACTTTACAGCCTTCAAGTCTCCTCCCTCCGACCAAATGTATTATTCAGTAAGCTTCAGAGTGATATTTCAAGAGAAATTCCCATTTTATTTATTTTTGCTTAGGCCTATTATACAGGCTACAAAACGCTTCGTCGCCATCATTATTTCACCTTTTATCTCAGGACACAAAAGCAACTGAAGAGGAGCCTGGAGTCTGGTCGTCTGGGGAATCGCATGTGGAGCGCCTCCGCAGGTCTGGCCGAAGAGAAGGTTATACAGGAGAGTGTGAGATAGACTAAGAATTTAAAGGAAAAATAGGAAAATAAACACATAATCACACCTCCTTTATATATTTCTGTGGAATTGAACACTAAAAATTTCCTTTTACAATGCAGCAAAAAAATTCCACATTCCATTAAAGATTAAATCGAAGGGTTTTGTAATGAACTGTACTCGTTTCTGAAAAGTAGAATACTAAAGCACTTCCTTTTACAATACAGCACTATAAAAAAATGCACATTCTGTTAACAAATGAAATCGATCTGTGCTATAGTCTGAAGCAAGGAATTAAAAAAAACGAAAATTCTAAATTATTATAGCCTGTATTCAAAACCAATGCGCACTGAATTTATTCATAAAAAAAGGAAATGAAAAAAAGAAAAAGGAAATGAAAAAAAAGAAAAAGGAAATGAAAAAAGAAAAAGGAAATGAAAAAAAAAGAAAAAAAATATATATATACATATGTGTATAAATTCACTGAAATTTAAAATCGATTTCTTAAAAAAAAGGGTTCATACGATAATAAAATTGGTTCTTTATGTATCCCGATCATTACTATCTTCAAAAACATCCATTCTGTGTGCATTCATGATTTTAAACGATTTTAAACAAAAACACCAGTTTTGCTGCTTTTTCAGTCAGTTCCTAATTTTGAATGTACAATACCGTAGATTTAAACCCCTGATGAAGATGCCACTGCAGACAGTAACATTCCATTCTTGTTCAATATGTCCAATTGGAACTTTTGAGACATCATTTGGTATGGAATATTGTCACTTCCTGGAGCAGTCTTACGGCAGAACAATGTGTGTGTGTTTGTGTATTTGCGTGTTTGTGTGTTTGTGTGTGTGTGTGTGTGTGTTTGTGTCTGTGTATTTGCGTGTCTGTGTGTGTGTGTTTGTGTTTGTGTATTTGCGTGTTTGTGTGTGTTTGTGTGTTTGTGTGTGTCTGTGTATTTGCGTGTTTGTGTGTGTGTGTGTGTGTTTGTGTATTTGCGTGTTTGTGTGTGTGTGTGTGTTTGTGTGTGTGTGTGTGTATGTGTGCATATATATATATAATATCTATATATAATATCTATATATATATAAAATATATATATATATATAATATCTCTCTCTCTATATATATATATACATATATGTTTTTTTTTTGTTTTTCAACAGCCATTCATTCCACTGCAGGACATAGGCCTCTCTCAATTCAGTATTGAGAGGTTATATGGCAGTGTCACCCTTGCCTGATTGGATGCCCTTCATAATCAACCGCGGTTCGGCGCGTTAACATTTGTGCCACGGCGGCGACTTCCCCTACGACGCCTGCGTTTGACTTCTCAAGCCGATATGCCGTTTTCTCGGACTTCAAACAAGAAGTCCGATTTTTTAGTTACAGATGTTGATACTCCTTGAGAACAAACTTTCCCGTAAAGTTAACTCCTGTCCCTTTGCCAACAGGTGCAGTCAGCTGTTCTGGTGTCCCTGTTGGTGGCACTTCCGGCCTCTGTAACAACTTCTGAAAACAGGAATGAAATGCCGAAGTTCGTTCATTCTCCCTCTGGGGATTCCCTCAAAGATCAAAGCATAATCAAACGTACTGTATCGTTCAGTTCTTGCACGGGCGTCTACGACCGCGAACTCCTTGTAAGCCTCGACCGCGTGTGCGAAGACTGCTACAACCTCTACCGCGACGTTGGAGTGGCGGCCGAATGCAGGTCTGTTGTTCTAATTCTTACACAAATATGTCAACATCCACTGTATACAGTCGCAAGTATCTGTAATGATTAGTCAAGGTTAGTGATGGTATGGATGGTAAATATCTTTCAATAGGTTGATTTTTTAAATTACTGTTAAACCTTCATTTAGATTACAAGGGTTTGAGTAAAATCAACTTTGCTTCCCTCTTCTCTTTTATCGTATTTTCAGTCCTTCTTTACCAACTTAAATGGTTACACAGAAGCCTTATGTATTATAGGAGTAATTGTTTCCACAACGAGGTGTTCCTGTACTGCGTGGTCTACATGTTCCGGCCTCGCCAAAGGAACCAGTACCGGGCCGCCCTCCAGAGGCTCGGCAAGTAGGCGGTTCGTCTTCGATCAACCCTTCCTGAAGGGACGCTTGCTGTGAGGCTTTCTCTGGGCTCTCCTTCGGTTGCTTTTGTATTCAAAGTTAGAAACTGATAACATATTGACGCCGAGGTGTTTCATGTCCAATGTCTTCAGAGAACATAAAATGTAAACAAAACAAAAAAAATGTCTCCAAAATCCTTTGATACATACTATAACTGAATGTACACTACTACAGTGAGTCAAATGACGAATGATACACATTTTTTTCTTTTATGTAAAACTAGAGAGAAACTGTGATAACAAGACCAGATAAAGATAAAGATGTTTAGTCCTACTGCAACTGGTTCAGACTGATTTAATCCGTTAATGATATCAAAATGAAGTAATAAGACGAAATGGCCATTAAATGAAACCATCAATGAAGCCACAAGCAATAATGTCTTTCTGTTTCCTGCCCTTTATTTTCGTACTGGCTCCCAAAGTTACGAAAGATGAGTGCACTTTTCAAGTCCATCAAGATCTGTAATTACTATATATTGGCTCTGGCCAGGACTATTACTAATGTACAAAAAAGCCTGGAATTAATTCCTTTGAGCGGTTAGCCTTACACGTTTCAGATTCACGTTCACGTTACGAGTTTGATTAACAGAACACTTAGCATCTGTAGCCCTCGGTGGTAACAAAGGACTGGTTCACTGACCGGCCTTAACAATGTCAGGTCACAAGCTTCGTACAGGAATGGGTTCCAATTAACCCAGCCGTCATGGTCTTATGTTCTGCCCCCTGTATTTTTTTGTGAATTTTGTCACATACAGATGGCACCACGTGTGTTCAGCCGGCAAGGAGTCTATACAGTAGGCCCTAATGACCGATCCAGGAGCGGTATTCTCAGACAGTTTTGAGGCGATTCTTAGATTAAAATTTGAGACTGTCCCAAAAGTGTCTCAGGGCGGCACCCTGCCACATATAAGATTATCAATAAATACATAGATAAGATTAATATTTTTATATTGTTTAAAATAGTGCATATAAGTTTTGATCAGTTATTATACTAATGCAGCCATGGTCCATTCTAAATAAAACTTGACATCGAATAATATAGGTAAACATGTGGCACCAATGCCACAGTGTAGACGATTGTCTATATTGTACATCAATTTATTTCAGATTCATGAATACCTTCACATGTATGCAAATGTGTTTGTACTAATCTGATGTGCTAGCGAGACAATGAAATAATACAAAAGACCCTTTCCAAAACTCAATTAACCCCTTGGTGCCGGGTATGACGTGTACGTACGTGCAATGCCCACAGTGAGTACTTGTTTGATTGTTTTTACGCATAGATGGCAACACTTGTACTAACTCCCTAATGAGCCAGTTACGAGCACCGCCCGTCTCGCCCGTTTACTCGTTTCTTTGATTTACAAAATATTTTACGTAATCTTATTTTGCTGTTACTAATGTTAAAAAAAAATATGAAAATTGTAATGTTTATGATAAAAATAACATCATCGATTTTCATAGCACTAGTGAAAAATACGTTATTCCCGCCATTTAAATCAGGCGCTAGCAGAGCCATCTATC